GCCACTTGCCGCTTGCCACTTGCCACATGTGGCACCAGTTGGCAGAGTTTCCGCAATTTTGCATTGGTTATCACCTTCGCCTAAGCGTTTGATGTGCCAGTTATATTTATTGCCCAAGTGCGATATCTCAGCTTCGTGCGATTGCTCTAAACAGCTGCTCAGGCCTTTTTGCAGTTCATCAACAAAAAATAGATACGAAAGAACAAGAAGAAGAAGAAGAAGAAGAAAACAATAACACTTCAAAACAATGAGTTCATCAGTGGTCCGATGTGTGATTCCCTGTTATCAGGCAGGCCTTTGGCAGTCATTAGATAAGATTTCTCAAGAATTTTAGAAAGCTGCTAAATATGGTCGACAGAAGTGCAGGAAGAGTGGTCTTAAGTAATAATGAAAACATACAGATTGATAAGAATTATTTATATGATTGAAGCAAAAAAGAGGGAGAAAAAAAGCGCACAAAAAGTTGCTTTGAAAAATTTTGAAATTAAAGAGAATTATAGAACTTATTCCATTAAAAACTCTTCCTTCATATTTTCTGCAATTCTTATTCTTATTTTTTAACTCCCCTTTTGTATGACTGATTTATTATGGCTTCATTTAGTCAAACGTTGATTGCTTAATTAGCTTCTTGATTAGTTGATAATGTCGATTCAATTGTTATTTGGGGATATAAATTCCTTTGAAGCAACCCTCGCGATTTGGCTGGCATTAACCTTGAAGCTAGAGCAATCGTTTATCGTTGTTAACAAACAACTGGAGCTGTTAAACAAATTTGGACTGTTTGCACAAGTTGACTGCTAAAATGAAAATAAATTAGTTTGCACCCGAGCACGAGCTTTCCAGGTGAGAGAGAGAGAGAGAGAGAGAGCGAAAGAAAGAGCTAAGAGCAAGTGCATTCCCAATGGCTCAACAACTAATTTTATGGGACTTGCTCTAGGCAAACACTCGCTGACATTAAGTACGCCATAATTAAAGGGTATTCAATGCAGGTGCATCCATCATTCCTGGCACAGGTGAGATTAAAACGAATGTGCTCCAAATGTCAGTCTGCTGAGCAAAAGCCGGTTATAGATCGAGGCGTGGCATGAGCTTAGATTTCGAAATGCAAACAGCGGAAAACATTGAAGATGACCAGCAGGAGACGAGGCCTGGCGAGACGAGGCAGCGGCTCTATTAGCATGCCCTTGACTGTGCGCAATTAATGAAGAACTGGACTGAAAGTTCGCTTGGATCGCCCAGTCGCACAGCTGCCCGGCTGGCTGTCTGCAATTAAAGCGCAAATCAGTTATTAATAGAAGTTGTTTCTCGTTCTTTGATTGCCATTGATTGAAAAGGGGCAGAGCTATAAATAAACCAGACAGATGCACGCGTCCTGCAGCCAGGACCACGCACGTTGCGGCTGGGACGACCCTGGCTCAGGCAGCGACATTCGCCTCTTATCGGTCTCCGGTTGAAGAGCAACGTTTAGGCATGACCCTGATAAGTCTAGACCTTGATTAACTTATCGCCAACACACACACACACACATACACACACGTTTTATGAAATCTAATCATTGCCTAAAAGCATGTATGTCTCCTCCAATATTAATTACGAGCGAGTCTGCCTCGAGTCGAAAGTCCTATCGATATTTATACCTCCTGTGGGACTGGCTGTCCTTCAGCTTACCCCAGTTTGATTAAGTGGCGTCCCATGGTTTCTCTCCCTCTCCCTCTCACACTCGCACCCATGCTCTTTGGTTATTGGGCACTTATTTTTTAGTGCCAAGTGCCTGAAAATTGATTAGAATTAATGTGCGGCGCGTTTTCAATTTGGAAAATTAAGAAAAACCACAAAAAGAAAACGAAAAGAAATAGAAGAGAAAGAAATCGAACCCTGTCGCACACTCGCAATTGAAATTGATTGAACGCGCCGCGCTGAAAGCTGTGTCATGCTTAGAGCTATAAAGTTATTGATCTATAAATATATATGTATATACTGATATATATATACATATGCACTTATATTGATATATATGTGGTTTGCCAGTTGTTGTTAAGGCAATTCACACGCTACACTGCGATTTGTTTTGTCGCTATCATGTGAGACTCGGCTATTAAATCATTCTTTCAGCGCTCCCTCTCATTAAGCCCGCAATTGTCGAGCAAGAACACAGTTAGCAAGTGTGCTGCAGTTGAAAGTAGTAGACTGGCAGATACTCTGCTCTTGATGGAACTTTTCTCCAGATAGACATCGATAGCTAGACTCATAAGATCCCGACTCCCTCTTCCTATAGATAATGAGATATAACAACTTAACTTCTTCTTCCCGTCACAAGCATAGTCGAAACCATCCATTGCAGCTATTTCAACTATTTGTAGGGTATTTGAAAAAGTCTTGAAAACACGTCCATGCATTAATAATTGCCATAGTTAAAGTTCGTGTAAATTAACGTTAAGTGAACTTTTATGATTGTATAATAGTAAAGTGGAGTAAAGCGAGAAAATGTTGCAATATCTCGGATTGCAGTTGATTGCATTGTGAATAGCTATAATACAAGCAGATAAGAGTCAAGAAGTCAAGAGTGCTTAGTTTGTGTCAGACTCGTTTAAGTTATGTTTAAGATCGTTGACTTGGCGAACTCAGTCAAATAGCTCTCTATAGAGAGCTGGAGTCTTAGCACATAGGTCTTGCTCTACTAAATTTAATACTCAACTCGTTCGGCATATCAAACGACTGAAGGCGCCCAGTGAAAGTCATTTTAATGGCTCTATAAACTGTTGCAATTACTTTTACTGAAATATTACATTTGGCAACACTGGCAAAGTTTATGTTATGCAGCACTGGACAAAGTTCAAAGCATTTGCAGCTATCGAAATGTCTTTCCATTTGCTGCGTCTATCAAATCAATTTAACTGCGAATGCTCACTGAGAAATTTGCAGCTGAGGTGCGATAATGAGGCAAATGCCTGCATATACATATATACATAACACATCGATACAAACACCTGTTGACTTGATTTAGCCTTTGGCAGACTTTCCCGTCGCCGTCGTCGCTTTGGCAGAGACAAATGCGCCCGCTGATAAGACGTTTGTGATAAGTTGCGGGCCAGACACTGCACAGCATGGGCTTGGCCCCCTTATGAACATTTTACACGTTTTGCTGCATGTTAACATTGCCAACAACAACAACAACAACAACAGCAATACCAACACCAATAGCAACTACAGCTAACTACACACAACAACAGATTTGAAGCACGCAAACTTTAGTTGTTTGTCTATGTCTTTGGCTTATCAGCGACTTAAGCGCGTTTTGCGCTCTGAACCCTATGAGCGTATATCGTTTTTGTTGCAGTGTATGTTGGGATGCTTGCTGTGTGTGTAAGCAGAAGCAGTTGGTCTCGGTATCTCCTAGTCGTATACTTCCGATTAGAGCTCTCTTAACTTGCTTTGCATCTGTGCAGCTTTATCTAAGTTATTGTTGTTGTTGCATGCGTGCGGCATTTGTGATCAACTGGCTTTGACATACATCATGTCACGTTCAGGATAACATGAACAGACTCAATAACAGCAGCAGCAACAGCAGCAACAGTCGCTGACTCAGCTGTTAAATGTAAATGTAAATTGTATGTAAAGCATTTGTACACAATGTCTGTCATACTAATTAGCCAACACCTACAGCTGCCACGCCCCATCAGTCATAGAGCCGACATTGAGTTTGTGAAAAAAGGGCATATGTATGTATGTACATACATATGTATATATCTCTATATACTTACATTTCTTACGTAACTTTGCATTGCAAGCTCAGACAATAAACACATTGATATATTTGTGTAACAATTGCAAATTGGCAAAGCAGTTGCCAAACGCGCGATAAGGTGCACCACTTTTTTCGTTATGGCCCGCACCGGAAGTGTGCTACGGCATGACAAACTGACGAAATGACACAATGACAAAATGCCAATCCAAGTTGTGCTCCGCCTGAGAGATAAGTTAACCATTCAGTTTCGAGGCAGTTTGCAATTTGCACGCCCTCGGGCCACCTTGATGGGCGGCCATTCTCATTAAAGCGGCATCGGCTACTACACTGCACAACAAAGCACGCAGACGCAGTGAGGCTGTGAGTCAGAGCTGTTCTTCACCCTTGCCACTGGACTCGGCTAGGTTCATAATTATGGCCACAGACAACTGACAGTTGGGCTGTTAAGAGGCGCATCTGTTGTTTACAGCATACTAAATTGCTCAAGTACACTGAGAGAAAGAGAAAGAGAGGACGTAAATGAATGAGAGATGGGAATTTTAAATAGGATTCAGTTTAAGAATGGACACAACTAAAATACTTTCACATATATTTCTTCAAGTGTATTCAGATGTAAAGAGACAGATGAAGAGAGAGAGAGAGAGAGAGAGAGAGAGAGAGAGAGAGAAGCTTAGAGTAATGCGAGTTTCTTCTTTTCACTTTTATACATCCACAACATACCACAGTCAATTGTTAGCCTCTTCTATTTACACACAACTTCATGTCTGGCGAGACTAAGCCCTGCTTAAGCGACCCTTTTGCGTGGGTCTACGAGCGTAAGCTTTGGGTACAAGCCATTAGTAATTCATCACAAAACTTCTACCGAACGAAAAGTTGCTCTCATCGAGCCGGTTCATGGTGCCAGCGATCTTCAGTGCACAGAGACACGAAAAAACTGGTTGGCAACGCTTCGAATCGGTGCCCAAAGCATGAGTCACAGACACATCCGGGGTATTCCACTCATGACGTAGCTAGACAGCGAAAGACTTGCTTAAGATTGGAATTGGAATTTGAGCAACAGTTAAAAGATAACACGGCAAATCGAAAGATACAGTTAAGCCCCATCTGCGACCTCTTCTCTTAATGTATTCAAATGGTTTCTTGAGATGGCTTTTTAATTTCCATGCTTTTCATACCCTAAAGCAATTGGGGTATATTAATGTATGCAGAAGGTGAGACTGAATGTTTAAAATATCAGATTCGTAAGCAGGTGAAATAGTTAAGACAATCTAAATCTATTCGTATATATAAAAATTCTACAATTTTAAATATATATCCACTTGCACCATTCCATCTAAAATTAGAGTTGAGGTATATCATTCTCAGGCACTGCCATCGTCTTGCTTTCTTCGTCTGGCATTCGCTTTGTGGCACTTTGCAACACTAAAGTGTTTTGATATTTTTTGACTGCGACATTTATGATTCCCTTGTTGATTATGTTCTTCTTTTATTGTTGTTGTTTAATGCTTGTTCATGTTTTCTTTATCAAATGATTGATCTTTTGTTTATTGGCTTTCAAAAAGTTTTATGACGGTTCTGTTTTTAGCTAAAACTCGGAATGCAATAGACTCCCTAAAAAAAAAAAAAAAAAAAAATTTAAAATAAAAAAACAACAATTTTGTACGCTTTTAAATTGAGTTTTTTGCAGTTGATTCATGAGCGGAAAAAACGAAGTTATGTTTCTTACTTCAAGTTGTTGTTGCTGTTGGGGAAGTAATTTAGCAACGCTTTGAGTGTTTCACTTGAAATTTTGTATTTATTATTATTTATTTTATTTGCGAAGGTCAACAATACTTTTGTGAAACCGTTTATTTGTTCTAAAATATAGCAACAAACAGTTAATTTGCAATGGGGATTATCGTCGCTATTGTGACTCACTTTCGTGTGAATGCCAAGAAATAAGCAATAAAATTATAATAATAAAAATAAAAATAATTTAAATATACGAGCTGCCCTTATAATAGCTAATCAGGAAATTTCATTGGAAATTCATTCGTGCTTCTGCTTCGTGTGGGCCTTTTAGATAATAATTTATTATTCATAAGAATTGGCTGAGCAATGCAAGCTAGTTAAACGCTCTATCTAAGCTAAGCTAAGTCTATAATTAAGTGGAAATGGGGTCTGGGCGAAGGTGATCAATTGAGGTATTAAGAGCAGGCAAGCTCTGAAGTAAGTTTTAGCTTAGTTCATCCATCATTGATCGTCAATCAGTTAGTAGCTAAGTAGACGATCAGTCAGTACGTCGGACATCAATGCGAGGGTAAGCCGAGGGGCAGCCAGTGGAGGTTTCATTTAGTTTATAGTTCAATCAACCAATCAGTAAGTGAGTCAGTCCATCAGTCAGTTTGTAATTCAATCAACGGGGATACTTTTCCCAATTTCCAGTCAATCAATCAATCAGAGAGTAAAGCTTCGTTTCTATCAAAAATAAAACATTCTATTATTTAATAATTTCTAATTATATTTGTTTTGCCAATTGCTTCACTTACTCTTATTTCAATACAATATTTTTCTCAGTGTAGCTTTTGTCAGTTGTCGATTTTCTGCAAAGCTACGGAGCAACTAAGCCAAGACTTTATTTAAGTAAATCAAAGATTTTTGTAGATTAATTCAATTGAGCGCGTTTCTTGGGGGTCAACAATGCGGCTACATTCCTGAAGCTTGGCCTGGGCCACGCCCCCTCCCCCTCTCGCTCTCTGTCCCCTTGTGGACTAAGCGCGAGTCACATCCATTAAAGTTGATTTACAGTTAAATGGTTCAACAGACACTTGCAGTTATTTCATTGCTCATTGTTCATTGAGGTTGACATGTGGGCAGAGGCGGCGGGCGGCTGACTGCAGACGGTAGACGTCATGGGCGTGGCATATCGGAAACAGCGAGTATCTGTTGCACTTTCATTGACGACGACGACGCAGCGAAGCATTCAATGTGCATCTTTGACGATTGTGGGAGTTGATTTCGAGCAGTTGTCAACGCATTTTAGCATCAACTTTAACAGTTGGCTAAACTCGGCTGTGTGTGTGTGTGTGCTTGCGAGTGTGTGGAACGTGTTTTGACTGAGTTGGCCTGCTTTCAAGTCTTTTATTGTCACATTTTTGCACACGACTTGACGAAATGTGCCGAAAAGGCTATAGCTGTCAAGACGCAAAACATTTTGTTTATTTTTGCACTCAACAACAACAACTGCAACAACAGCAACTACAACAACAACAGCAGCAGCAACAATAAAACCAGTTCAACGCAACATATGGCGTTTTTTTATGTTCCGCAGACAAGTGGGCTGAGAAAATGAACAAAAGTCTATATAAATATATACTTAGTTAGATATACATATATGTTTTGATATAACTTAAATATTTGCTGTACTCCCATTTGCAGTTATATTTCAAAAGATATTTACACTTTTTAGTAATCTCATGGAGTGTATAATATATCACACATAGAAGATGCCTCTCCCTTAGGTTACAGTCGTGTAGCTTATATAATTGATGCATCCATTTGGGAACTGTCTCATCTAAAGTAATATAATAGCTTATTCTTATTCTTCTATCTTGCTATTCTTAAGATATCCTATTCCTAAGACTTCCCTGTGCTATATTTCCTATCTTTAAAAATGTGAATTGGAAAAATAATATCTCATCAATATCAGCTTAGCTTTTAAGGGTATATTTGCTTCGCCTTTTCGTTTATGTTTTTCGCTCTCGAGGTGCTTCACACAGACCTTAAGCAGGTTAAGCTCCCGAGGTTTACTTAATCAGACCTTACACTTAGTCAATGCCAATGTCCAAAGGTTGACACAAACCCAAAAAACACCAAGAAGAAAAAACCTAAAAATGACGCAGAAAATAAACAGAAAATTGATTTCTGCTAATTAAGCTAAATGTTTTAAGAAAGCAAAATAGTGATAACTATATATGTACATATATAGGTATAAATGTATATACGAATATATATGTGCATTATACATACATATAAGTGTGCCCTATAAAGAACTCCTGCGAAATTGCTTTAATTAAAAGCAGAGGTAACGAAAAACACAAAACTTTATCAGTCACGCAACGACCAAAAACCTTTAAAATAAATATATATAGATGTGACTATATATTACACATATATATGTATACTATATGGATTATCAGTTTTTTAGGGGTTATCACTAGCTTATTTATTTATGTATGTATTTTATTTATTTGTATACCTGCTCACTAAGCAAAATGAGTATATTGGTTTTATACAATGTCATTCTTCATAGAGACCTGATATAACTCTGAATTTATATGGGCATTGAGCTATATTTCCGAAAGTTTTAGATCTACAGAACAAGTATTATGCAGTCAGTGGCGCCCGACTATAATATTTGTATTTGTTTTTGGCATTTGCTTCGGCTTAATGCGGTTAATGGGCTCCTCTCAAGTCAAAGATTGTCATTGTTGAGGACTCAACTTGAGGCTCATCAAAAGCTGAGTAAATTTTGGCAAAGTTGTTGCCATTTATTCCTCTCTTTTTTTTTTATATTATTTTTTCTGTCTTTTCTTTACAAACATTTTGTTGTTGCGAACTTTAAGTGCTCATTAAGACGCTGTCGCCGGCGGCTTCTGTTGTTTGATTTATTTGCTTGATCTTTCGATTTTGTCTATGTGAATTTAGTTATTTATGGTTGTGCGGCAATTCAGCTAGCTAAGGTCATGCTCTGTAGGGGAGTGTAAAGACAGAAAAGAGTAACAGATCGAAAGCTTTATAAAATGTGCCGGACTTTCTACAAAGGCCTCCCGCCCCAAAATAAAATAGACGGGCTCTGTCTTTATGGCCCACATGGTGAATAACCTTTGAAGCCAGCCAAGCTCTATAAATGTACTCCACTAGATATATACATATGTATGTATATAAAGATCTTTATTGTTTGGCTTTGTTGTCTTTTGGCTCAAAGCAGAAAAAATAAATCTGCGTACAAGAGAGTTATGTGGAACTGCTACTTTGTCTTAAAACTCTTATGCTCATTGTAGTTGTTGTTGTTGTTGTTGCTGTGGTCATATACGTGCCGTTTTAAAAACAATAAATCGGCAGAGCTCTTTCACTTTGAAGGAAAAACACACACACCAAATGGCCCAAAGGCTGAAATTACGGTTTTATACACATATTGGCAGATTTATAGCAGAATTTTGCATGCATAATTTGAAATTGTATGCAATTTATAAGACTTTCAAAATATACATACATGTGTACATATAATCGAAAAAGCTCTTATACAACATTTGGGTTGACATTTCTCCAAGCTTTCCAGTTCCTCTGAACGGCTTAGCACACATCTAGTTCCAATTTTGTGGTTCCACTGTGGAACGCGCTAAACAAACCAATTAAAGTCGCTGCGCACAAACAAAAGTATATCGATATTCGATTTTTGTTTGCCTAAACCACATACCAAACGCCCAACTATAAATATTTGCCCATACAATTAGCGCTGTGTTAAAACAACCATTCGAAGAAGAAAGCAAAGCAAACTGCACGAAAGAAGCTGACGAAATGGGAGCCCGCAGCCCTGGCAGCTGCTAGAGATGCGCCATCTCGCTCGCACGCACTTATCAAATTCATCGATTACGTTTGTCGCAGGCAAATTAACAAATATTTCTTGAGCTCGCTGCTTTTGTGTTGTTGTTCGCTGTTGTTGTTGTTGTTCGCTGTTGATGTTGTTGTGGTTGGTGTTTGCGGCTTGACTGTTTGAACAACGCGATGCTCAAGTGTTAGTTGGTCTGCCCTGTGCTTCACGCACATGAACTTCAAGTGAGCTCATTTTCTTTCTTTTTGACATTTCGAACGGTTTCAGCTTTCCAAATTGAAAAGTAGAATATACAAAATGCGCATTGCCCTAGCCCAAGTAGTTGTTGTTGAAACGGGTTCCGCGCACTCACACCGAAACCCGAGTTGAAAGTTCAACGGCGATTCATCGCGCGATATTGTAATCGCTGGCGTTTTGTATACGTTCCTGTCTCTGTGTTTGTGTGTTTGTGTGTGTGTGTTTCTATGCGATATCCGCAGCTCATATTAAATGAGCCTGGAGCCGAGGGTTAAATGAAGCGAATGAGGGGGACAAAAAAGCGACGATATAAGAGAGCAAGAGCTGAAGAGAGCGGGAGGCAGCGGGACGGAGTGGGGGCAACAAGTTGTACTAGTGCAGTTAACGGCAACGGCTTGTCGGCTTTGGTTTGAGCTCTGGAAATGTTCGTTTTGGATTTTTGTTCGATGCGGTGGCGAAATTAAAAGCAGCACGCTTAACCCGCCGACCGACACACACACACACATACACATAGATAGATATCAGCTCATTCATTGAGGAAACCTTTGCCCAAACACACACACACACAGTCGTGCGCATTGCTTTAGAGGCGTTTTTTATAGAAATTAATAAAGGCAACATTTAAGTGCGTTTGGCTGGAATGCAACTGTTTAACAATGGAGCAAACGCTTATCCGTTATTAAGCGTGTCTATGGCGACAGCAGAGAGCGCAGCAATGGGCGCACTGCACTGAGAGAAAAGTGTAGTCAATTTGGTTTAAATTGCTCCTTGAAGCTAAGAACTATATTTTAGAGGTATATAATATTAGAGTATATATGTATTTATGTTAATCATAGATGTGGATATATAATTGTATAACATATAGAAACATTTTTAATAGCAATTATAGTACTAATACATGTTGCATTATATTATAATATTTTTTCTAAGTGTGTAAATCAATCAATCGGATATTAGAACAAATGTCCATTCACACTTCTAACTTTCTCTACAATTTTCAATCTATTCCAAGTGTTCTATATTATTATAATAATAATAATATAATAATAATAATAAGCGCTTATAAGTTGCCTTCTAGTGTAACCAATCATTAGAACGAATTTCCGCGCATATCTAATAACATATATTAGTCATAATCATAGCCGATCTCTGACCATATCTGAAGTGTTAAGAAACTGAGTTACTCTAAAGTGCCGTAAGCGATTTTAGCAAATTTAATAAGGCGTGTGTTTCTGCATTGCTTGCCCGAGCTGTTGGCCGTGTGTGCTCTGACCTGAAATGCCAGGTAAACTAATGAAGCGCATGGCCTGAGCTAAAACAGAGAAACTACAGCAACAACAATAACAATGGCTACAACAACAGCAACAAGAACTCGCTTTGTTTTCAGTTTTGCCCGAAAATTCGTTTTGCAGTTTGTGCAATTTTTTTTTGTTTTTTTTTCGGATTTATGTTTTTGAACAGAAAAAGAAACAACAAAAGAGAAATAAGAGCTAAAATATTTTACCTGTAGAAACCGCAGACGAGTTCTTATGAATGATGTTTTGGTTTAGTTTGGATTTTTGTTGGAGGCAAAAGTCAATGTCGGGGTCGGTCAGCGACTGGTCCAAGTTTCACGTCTTTGAAATTCCATTGAAATTGGGCCTGAATCTTGTTCTCGTTCTGCTCTTGCGGCTTCTTAGAAGCTGCTACCTTGCATGCGGTTCATTATGATCATTATACAAATTTCTTTATTCTGATAAGTTGCACAGCAAACTGGTCAAAACTGATTTTAATTGTTACCTTCTTCTGTTTCTTTGCTTGATTTATTTGCAGAAACTATATGCCAAGGCCATTTACGACAATGAAGCGGATATGTCCGACGAGCTGTCCTTCAAGAAGGGCGACATCCTTACAGTCATCGAGCAGGACACCGAGGGCATCGAAGGCTGGTGGCTATGCTCGTTGCGCAACAGACAGGTGAGTTGGGTTCGTTGTGGGGTAGGAGGGAGCTTTATGGAGAGAGAACTCTAATTGTGTACACTTAGAGAAAAGAACAGTAATTAGACTTAGATATAGTTTTAGAGCTTCCTAGATAGAGAGATGTGCTGCACAGCTATAGCTTTATACTTCAAGGCTTTCTTTCAGTGCATCTCGAGATGCCCTGCTTTTCCATATCTCAAGGCAGCTGCTTTAGAATTCCAAGCAGCACACAAACTTCTTTGCTTTCAGTTTTCTGCCAGTGCAGCTTCATTCACAGCCTTCAGCTCCACCTCGAGATTCCTCTCCCCTCTTTCACTCCGAGTGCAGCTCCATTAATGTCGAAAGGGCAACGCCTTTTGCGAGTTGTCTTAGCCAACGTATTTGCTTGGGCTTGGCTTTGCTTCTCTTCTCTTTAGTTTCTTTTGCCCTGCTAATTGCCAAAAAAGGCAGCCATGCCACGCCCATTTGTGCTTGGCATCCATAATTAAACAATTGAGAGCATTCCGCCTGGGCCAGAACTCAGCTTGCAGAGTTTTTTGGTCATAAAAAGTCAGTCCAAATTTGCATTTATAATTTAATTTTGAAAATGTTTCAATGCTACACATAGAGAGTTTCATGATTTCCCTGCCCATTCTCATGATGCATCAGCATCCCCATCAGCAGCAGCAGTAGCAGCAGCATCATCTCCGGGCACGTGTCAGACACCCGCCTCGTTGCATGCGGGATATAAATTTACAGCTCTGCCACTTTAATTGTGTCCGCAGCTGTAATAATAATCCCCATAATGGCCCGGCGAGCGATTACCACACTGTACAACATAATTTGGACATGCTCCAGGTCCATCCATTGGGGGAGTGCAGTGTAAATAGGTCGATGTTGTTAGTTTGATGGCCTACAAAGTGGAATGAAATGTTTCACAGTTTGTTAACTTTGAAATTTGTTTGAATTGAGTTGAATGTGGAACATGTTCTGAATGGGAAATACGTTTGACGATTGGAATTTATTAACAGTTTGATATGAACATAAAATTTTTAATATTTATGTAA